ACAAACCCACAGGCTGCACATAACACTGATTGCTTCTGATAGAAATAAAGAATATCTTGCTGTTACCGTCAAGCCTTGAAACTGACTTCCAGCTAATGACCCAAATAAACTGTACTTGAAATTGTATAATTGAGATCGAAGGCTGTCTGGGGCTTCTGGCTTGGGATATAGATTCCACATCCATGAGCTTTTCAGTATGGTCATTGAGCTGAAATGGAGAAGGTTAAAACTCTCATTTTCATTACCAAACACCCCCATCTCCCAATACAAATGTGACATTTCAATTTTGCACAGTCCAACTCTTCTTAAATCATCTGTATAAAAACTTCAGATCTTGATTGATGATGGATGAGCTATTGTCTCCTAAAGCACCCAGTTCTCATTACCCTTTAAGACAGGGCTTATTAATGATGGACCTGAAGTGCTTTCCCAGTGGATCATCAGCAGTGAACTGTGCTGAGGGATCAAAAGACTTGGTTTGGCATGAAATTTCCAGGCCTAAGCTGTTTTCAGATGATGCATTCAGCATCTTGGGTGTGATAGCAGAAGAGATCCCCATCACTGGGATGTTTATATAAAGATGCAGCACTGTCAACCTGCAAAGGTGCTTCATCCCTAGTGAGGCTGACCTTGGAAATTCAGGTGTCATCAGCATGTGGTATATAATACATACATGCAGGATATACCTGTATATGGTGGGGTATAAAAGACAGCTGCTTCCTTCATAGCCAGCTTGAAAGGGGTAAGATATAGTCTGGTTTGCTTTTGAAGTGGTTGGAGTGGACTTACCCCAGTTTTTCCTAATTAACTCCCTCCCCTTGGCCTGCCCACTTCAGAACTAGCTCCTTTCCCTCTCACCATGCCATCTTCCAGTTCCTAGTGCCAGCTGATTTTGCAGCACCAGAGAAGAGCTTTTAATTTGCAACCTGGAATAGCAATAGCCATTTTATAACCATTTTTGCAACAATTTTAGAAACGGATTCTACAGCTAAATAGATGTTTACAACCCCCACTGCACAGACACATACATGAGTAACTTTCACTCTAGGATACATTACAGAAGGAGAACATGTTTTGCCAATTTAACCCACGTTAGAAATTGGATAGCAGAATATAAGGGATTATGCTGTACACCAAAAAAAGGTCAGCTCAATAAATTGCCCTTTTAAAAGGTGGAAGAAGAAAAGTGGTTTCCCTCTCTGATCTAAGCAGATGCCACCCTTGCAGAACCACTGTCCCCTTGCAGTGATTGTGTGCCTCGGGTGGCTGAGAATGTGTTTCCATCAAACTCTGAGTCCCTTTCTGAGCTTGGCAGCCTAAGCATGAGCTGGGTGTGGTGTACCTGTCTGTGTTCCTGGCACTTCATGTGAGGTGCTTGTGTCTCTTGCTTGCCAGAAACATTTCCATCCCTCCTGTTAGTATTGTGTGGTAGGTTACCAAAGTCTGTGGGAATGTTTCTCCAGCTAATGAAAGCAAGAAAATAGCAACAGGTAATACAGTTCTGATTTGGCTTCCTGAGTAAATAACCATTTAAGAGAATTTTAATAATATGCAGATATAAGTTCCCCACAATAATTTGAGAGTAATAAGCAAAATAATGACAGAATTCAGTGGCAAGGACACATGCTGATTTCTTTTCGTGTAACTTTGGTTGCAGAATTATACTGCTTTTAAGCCAGTAGAATAGTTCTAATAAGGAAGGTGATAAGATTTGTCATTCACTTCAGAATCAAGTGGCAGAAGCCCTTGATGCTGCTCCTTTGTAGGGGCTGCAGCCCTGGTGCCAAACCAGGAGAATGTGGTACTCTGAAGTGTTACACTTTCCAAATATGTTCAAAGTTGTCTGGCACTTCTAGGAACTCTTTTCCCTAGTGAGTCTTGTGCTTAGAAATCCCTCTTTTGTACCTTGATGTCCCTGAGCAGGGTGGATGCCCAGGGATAGGTAGCACTTGCTGCTAGCGGGGTCAACATTTTTCCAGTGTCACAAAAAATTGTTTTAGAAGACAAAAATACTCACCCCCAAATGGTATTTAAAGTATGTTTCACTGTGAGCATTCTGGTTTGGGGCTTCTCTGGCAGGAACTGGCTTCTTTGTTTACAAAATTCACTCAGGGACTTGGCATTTTTTTCTTCTGCTCCAGCTTTGCAAAGAGTTGAGCAGAGAGGCACCTCAGGTGTTGCACACAGGAGAAGAAACCTCTTTTTGCCTGGCTTCCACTGCTGCCTGCACAGGCAGAGATCCTGCCTTCCTCCTCCCGTTCATTGTTTAACTTTATCTCTCACTTTCAGGGCTGTAAATTAAAATGAGATTATGACTTTATGATGATGAGTTCATTATACAGCAGCTCTATTGTATATTGATTACAGTTGTGCTTCATTTGCTTAACATGTAACAGAGTTTATTAGCTCTTCCCAGGCATTGTTCTTGCTAAGAGAGGGCAAAGAAGTGCAAAATGCATTTTGAGTTGAAGTCAGTGAAGCCAATGCATCTGTGCTGATTTACACACACCGAGGACTTGGTGTAAAGAAAAGGAGGTTGCGTTGGGAAGGTGGAGTGGAAATGAATCTGGGGCCCAGAGAGCAGGAAAAGTCAACCACAAGTGCTCTAAAGATTGTGCTAAACCTAAAGTTTGAATCTAAATGTTGATCTCAGTGTTACTTAATATCCACAAGAACCCACCCTGGATATTACTCAGGTGGGCTGGCACCTCAAAGCATCAATAACCCGGAAACTTTAATTCTGTCACTGGTGAAAAATGGTGCAGTGCAGGGAAATTGGGGGGACTGTATCCCATTTTTGGGAAAAAGCAGCAGAAACAGCGCTTGCTATTCAGTGATGAGGCAAGTCAGAGCATTTTTAGGCTATTTTTAGTAAACCACAGTTAAATATGTTTGTTTCCCTGAAGTATAGTGTATGATACGCTTCCTGGTCACCTTATCCTGAAAAAAAAAGTCTTTCTCCACAAATTAAAACTATTAGAATTACTTTTAGATAGAGATCCTGCTATACAAGAATGTGTCAAAGTTCCTAGCAGGAAAGAAACTTGGATAGGTATTGTCATGAGGGGGTGCTCTTGAAACCCAGAAATTATTCCAGTTCTGTGTGCCAGCTGACAGAGGAGCCAGGCAGAGTTCTGTGTGGGAAATGGACTTGTAGAGAATTTTCAAAGCTTATAATATTGTATATAATATGCATTGTAATTACAAAACAGTTGGCTTCTGATTGCAATAGCATGAATTATAGCATCTGTATTGTCTCACCCTTCACATGAGACTGAAAATAGAATAAAAATTTTTAAAACACCTCTCAGTTACCCATGTCTAAGACAAAAAAAAGTGCTTAATCCAACAACTGTGTGTCTGTTTAAGAAGATATAAATGCAGATTTTACTGTTTTACACTGTTTTTATGTTATTTTTAATCAAAATCTGGGTCATAATAGATTAGGTAATCCGGTGTAGCTGGGACAACACAGAGAAATCATCACTAATCATGATTTTAGGTGTTTTGCTAAGTCCCTCTTCTCCCCAGAGCAAAATTGTTAACAGATGCTGTATGGTTTTTTCTGTGATCATAAGAATATTATACAGACAGATCATTGCAAGATCTCTAATCTGGACTGATTTTCTGTATCAGATTATTATCATTGTTCTCATTTATAAGCCCCTTTTCAATGAAAAGCCAAGCTTTTAAACCAGAGGTTTCTAAGAAATAGTAACACTGATTAATATGATGTATTTACAGATGATCCTTTATTTAATATATTCCTTGATTGGGGGCTGCTTCATTTGCATGCTGTGACCTGTAAACCCTGAAATTTAAAAAAGAAGCAAAACAGAGTCGTTCTTTTCATGGTGTGCGTGTAAAGGTTTGCATTCCCACTACAGCTTTTAAAGGTTTTCCTGGCAGATGAGGGTTATCAGACTACCTTAATCAGGAATTATTCTTCATGTCTCTGTGAGAAGTGTGGCACTCCTGGCTCTACAGCACCACTTCATGTCATTCCAAGGTGTCATTAGTAACAAACCTTCAGCATTTCTCTGCTGAGGCTTGAAGCTCTGACACTGAAGGTTTTAGACTCACATTTCCTGTTAACTTTCATGAAAGTCACAGGCATTGTCTCCTGCTTTGGAAATAAAAGAGACAGGTTAAGTAGAGGAATTGTGAATTTGAGCAAGGGTTTAAGGGGTAAAAAATAAAAAAGCTTTTGCTCAAGAGGAAACTCTGGTGCTACAACCAATGACTGTAAGATCATTTTCATGTTGAGATTAGATGAATTTAATCTTTAGAAACAGGGCAACAGAGTGGGTTTTTAAACAAACTGCTATAAATATGAAAATAAAAAAAAAACCCAAGAACCCCAACAAAAAGCACAAAAGCCCCACAGCCAAGAAGAATCCCAGAACTTTTGCCTGTTTAAAAACCATCTCTAACACAAAGCTTCCAGCATGGCATGTCCATAGGAGTTTTGCACCACAGTGATTGAGATTTGGATCGTTGCTTGGAGTGTTTGGGTGTTTTGGATGATGGTATTACAGCAGCACAGGCTGTAACACAACATCTTCCCCAGACCTTGTGCTGAGTGGCCCCTTCTCGTGTCCCGTGGGCTCATCACAGCACAGCTCCTTATTGTAAGTTTTAAGCCTTTCTGCAAATGAATGAAATGCAGTATAGTGTGATCGATTGCTTGTGGCTTTAAAGTCATTTAAGTGTTGAAGGTTATTTTACCCACAAAATACAGAACTGTTCCATACGTGATCACACTGGAACAAGAAGGAAACAACTGTGTGTCAGTCTTCATCAGGTTTCTTCTGAATGTGAATAAAGGGTTCCTGTTTACAAATCATGTGAGCTGCTTGTCCTCCAGTTTTCAGATTATTAAATGAGAATTTTTTTTGCATTTAAATTTCGTGCTCCCTCTCCAAAACATGTTTAGAAATAGATTGAATCAGCTGCCTGAAAGTCTTACAAGTACATTGTTCTCTTGTTCTTCTGCACAGAGATACTGAATGGAGGGGTCTATGTTGGCCAGAACAAATTTCTCTGCTTTGCAGACACCATCCATTGGCAAGACATCGTGCGTAACCCCTGGGCCTCCAACTTCACCCTGGTTCCAACCAACGGCAGCTCAGGATGTAAGTACTGCTTTTATTCTCAGCCTTGTCATCATGGAACTGGAGAAATATGGCCACAAGTTTTCCCTGATCCTCTGGTGGTATGGAGAATTATGTTGGTAAATTTTCCTTTCATTGTTCCCCACATTTTTCTAAGTTTGTCCACTGCTTGAAGGACCACTTAGTCTGCTCTCAAAAACAGTGTCTGTAAAGGGTATTTGTGAACATCATACATTTTCTGAATTTTCTCTCATCTGTTTTCTCTCTCCTGCATTTTCTTTTTTTTTTCCTTTATTGCTGAAGCCACTGTGGTGCTGTGGAAGCACAGACATTGATGTTTGCTTTGCATTTGTTCCTGCTGCTCAGTCTGCTCCTTGAGCCACAATGGTCTGTCTGTGGCACCATAATTAGCTGCTGGAGTAATTATGGTGAAAGCTCATGGATATTCTGACTTTAGATGAGAAGTGAACCTCAAAAAATAGTTAGCCTGTTGTCTTGTGTATATATTGTTGAAGAGAGAGAGAGAGAGAATTTGCAGAGGATGGGGTGTTCTTCACAATATAAGCAAACATTTTCTGTTCTTTACTATATTTTCTTTATTTTAATGCTTTCCATTCCAAACTTGAAATATCTGTGTGCTTAGGGTTTCTCTATTTCCTTTCCCAAGAATTATTTGCCTTCAGTGAATCATTCTTAGGATTCTTGCAGCAATAATGAGTTGTAGTGAATGGTGGTGACAGGATACAGTGTTTAAGCAAAATATTCCATAATGGAGTGAAGTGCATTCAGAATGAATGCTGTGCTGTTAAACAGTTCCAATACTGAAATTCAGAGACAGGCTGGGAAGAAGTTTATGTCACGTGTCAAAGGTGGCACCACAGTAGACATTTTGTTCTGAGCATTCCAGATTTGGGGACATTCTGGATTGCTTTCCATATCTGAAGGTGTCCCTCAAGGATGTATAAATGAAACATGGCCTCTCTAAATTTCACTACAGCCAGGAAACATTTCATTTCTTCTGTTGTATGTTGGCAACTCAGAAAAAAAAATGTTCAGACTCTGGGTAGGGACCATTTGATGAGTCCCCATAATTTCTAAGCAGCAACTTGTTTTTAACCAGGTGCTTTGTGGTGTCATTGATTTTCTAGAAGGCTGGCTTGCTTTTGTATATCTCATCTGCTCCCCTTAATACCAGAGCACAGGTACTTGTGATGAAGCTTCCTCCAGGAGCCTGCCAGGCTGCACTGCTCCTGGACATCCCAGCTCCAGAGCTGAGCCTCCTCACTTCTGCCTTCTGCCTGGAAACTTGGGGAAAAAATAGTCTTATTTGTATCTTAAAAACCCTCATCACTGCTGATAATCAGTTCTAGGTAGAGCTGATGAAACCTTTGAAGGTGAGGGAATGCCTGTCCCCTTTTAAGAGTCATCGCTTCAAGAAAAAGTCTTGGTTCTTACTCTGTTTTGTTCTGTTATTGGGTTTTTCTTTTAACCTTTCCCAGTTCTTCAAGACAAATGCTTTTGCTCTTTTAAAAAAGCAACAAACATCAATAATATCTTTTTGGGTAACAGAAGTTTAACAGATGATTTCAGAAGAACTGGAACAAGATCCATTCTGAGTACTTTTAGAAACACACCCTTAAAGCAAAGGTGGCAGATATTAGTGCCCACACACAGCTAGATGAAAGAATGTATGGAGCAAAATCCAGTTTTCTTCAAACTTTTTTTTTTTTTTAATTCCTTTTGAGTTGTTTTGAAATATAGGGAAGGAACAATTTGTGCTTTGCCATTTATACTTGATAAATAAGATAAACAGCATTATTTCAATGATTGAGAGCTATGTACCAAGTCAGCTTCATTAAGATAGCCTCCCAAATTTTACTGTTTTTCCTTACTTGGGATGGAGCAGTGCACAACTGGACTGTAATTTAATAAACATAAGTCTCTTCTGAGAAACCTGTTTTTATTATATCATGCATGTTTTTTATACATTCTTACAAAACTCCTGAGTTTACACTTGTTGGTCACAAGACACAAACACAAAGTGCTCATTGGAATAGGCAGTTGCAGGTTTCTCTTATTGTCCCTTCTTTCCCTCTTGGTTTCTATGTCAACGACCTTGGTAGAAAATTCTTTCAGGGGTAAACATGGATCCTCTTATCAAACATCTCTCTGGCTCCCAGAAGTGGCTGTAAAACCTCTTGCACAGCTGGCAGTGAATGTGTGCAGGGACAGAGGCTGTGACCTGCCCTGGGTGTCAGCATCTGGCACCTCATCCAAACGCAGCACCCGGCACAGTTTGGTGCTCTGGTATGGCTGGCATTGTTTCCAGCCATCAGCAGAGGACAAAAAAACACCCCCAGAAGTGTCTACATGTCCAAAAGAGGAGTGCCCAGCCTGAGAGAAGCCTGTGCATGCTGGGCTTTGGCCATGGCCAGAGTGGCTGCAGCAGGTTGGTGTGAATGCAGTGCCACACCAGGCACAGCTGGGCACAGCCCTGCCAGGGAGCTGCCACTGCAGGTGCCCGTGCTGTCCCCGTCCCCAGCCAGCTGGAAAAGCTGATCATGCTCTGACTTTAGGGATAATTTCACTTGAACCCTCCCTCGCTGCTCCACTGCAATCAGCAGAGGAAGACAAAAGGCTGGGATGAAAGGAAGAGGCTCCCAAGTAAAATCAGTCCCCTGCCTCTGTGCCTGTGTCATGCCTTGGAGCTGGCAATCCTGGCAATCTCCTTCATTCACATCAGTGCTAGGCAGAGGAGAATATGGCCAATGCACCCTGGGAATAAAGCTCCTCTGATTCCCTTCCTCACAGGCTTTCATTGTCACATCAGTGCTAAGGAGCCAGCTGAAAAGGCCATGGTGTCTTAAACACTGACAGAAATACTGCAGCCATGTGAATCCAGAGTGCTGCTTCTCCTTTTTTCTTCAGGTTCTGATCAAATGCATGCAGAAGAGCTGGTGCTGGAGGCCCCTGAGTGACATGGTGTCACCGTGCACAGAGGCAGTGGCTGCTGGCACAGCACTGGATAAACAAACCCTGCACCAGGGGCCACACGTGCTTCCTCTCTCCCAGGACACAGCCTCTGTGCCTGGCATTTTGACTCACACACACTGAAATATTTACTACTTGCACAGTAAATATTATAAATATAAATATATTTCTATAAATTATATATATTTCTATAAATTATATATATTTATATATAAAACAATATATATTTATATATAAATATATTTGTATATTTATCTAGATATAAATAAAAATATATGAAATACCCACACTGGTATCTCGTAGCTGACACTTTTGGAATCAGTTGTAACTTGAAAGCAGCCTTCTTTTCTGTTTGTTGAATTCTGCACTGCCAGCCTGGGGTTTTAGGCTGAGCACATCACAGTGGGAATCTCAAAAGCACTTAACTCTCCAAGGAACAAAATTTTCCCCTTTAGGTTTGCGTTATTGAAATTGTTGCTGCAACAACGCTGAAAATCTATTTTCTCTCCTTCCAAAAATCAGCCATGAATTCAAGCATTGGCCAAACATGCTGAAGCCTTGCTTTGCAAGAGCCTATTCCCCTGTTAGCACATCCACTTTTTGGATTCAGTCCCTTAATAGAAGAGCTGGAACTCAGCTCTTCAGAGGTAGAAACCCAGGGTGCAGCTCCCAGCAGGGAAAATAAATAAAGCAGGGGAAAAAGAATGAGGCTTCTTGCCTAAAATGCCTCCAGATTAGCAGAGCTCTTTCAGCAGCTTTTGGGAGAGTCCAGTGAAAATCAGTCTGCTTTCATCTGTGTCTTCAATATTCTCCTCGGTTTTGTTTTTAGCAGGAGCTGGACAAGCCTTACATTTTGTCAGGTGATTTCTTTTACAGCATTTGACAAAGACCATAGTATTAAATCAGAATTTTCAGAGGAACTTTACTTGGATCTTTTGTTTTACAGAAAAGCTTGTAGAGTTTGAATTATTGCATTGAGGCCACTTCCATAGCCAATAGCATGTGCTCAAATCAGTCAGTAATGCTCTTATAAATATTAGAACTATGGATGTGTGTTCATCATAGAGCTGGTAACTGTTTGGGTAATACAGATGCAAAAATCACGCTAAAATTTTCAAGTTTTAAAAAAATTAAGTTGCTTCTCAAGGAGTTATTTAAAAAAATGCTGGACTTTCTTGAAATTTGATTCAAGTATTTTCTTGACACCAAGTTTCTGCTCAGACTGAAGTGTAGTGAGTTCACTGGAAAAAATTCCCTTTGTCAGTCTGGCTTTTCATCTGAGTGCCTGTCAGCTGTGAATAAAGCTGGAATTTTTTGGCAAGGTACTTTTTCAGGCAGAACAACTTCAGTTCCTTGCTCTTCACAGCGTGGTGCTCCTCTGCCATTGCTTTGTGTCTAATTGCAGCCTGTGGTGTGAGAACAGCCCTGGTCTGAGCTGTGCAGAAGCACTGCTGCAGAGTTACAGGGGGAAAAGTCTTGTTCTTCAGGGGTGTGCCATAAATCCCATGGTGTACTCCAGAGAAACGCTGCTTGAAAACTCCTCTCTTCCAAAACTTGGCTCCTTTTTTGCCTATTGGTTCACAGATTTTTCAACAGCAAAAGGAGCCTTGAAACATCATGAGCTCATATGCAGAGGCCTGGAGTATCAGCAGCTTGCCTGGTGTGGAGCTCAGTGGCTTCCCTGACCACAGCTGGCTTTGAGGGCTCTGGTGCCCTGTGCACTCTCCTGGCACTGCCCTGGAGCTTTGCAGAAGTGCAGCTGTCCCTCCAGTATTAAAAGGAATAATAGCAGCTGCCTTTATCTCCAATCTGAGCACAATTTTAAAGAACAGATGTTGCATCTTGCACTTTTGTCTAGCTAGCTCAAAGAGCTCTCCTTGCCAGCTTTTTCTCTCTGTGTACTGTGTCATCAGCTCACCTCCTGATCTTCTTCCAAAAGCTGGACAGATGGAGGCTCTCCCATCTCTCTCAAGGAGGAATTTCTTTGCAGCCCCAGAGGAATTTTCATTGCTCATCAATGTAAACTGTGT